CTTCATACAGGTTTCCAAAACAATTAAATATACCATAAACAACTTGTGACCGAGAATAAACACCTATAATCTCATCAAGCCATTCTGGTGATCTCAAAAACCATGGGAGTATATTCAGTCACCAGGGGGGAAAAAAAAAAAAAGAAAAAAAAAAAGGGATTAAAAAAGGAAAGACCATTGCCTTGAAGGAATTATGGCCATGTAATTCTGTGCCTGCCTTGTCAGAGCACTCAGCTTTAAAGCCTGCCAGCTCCTCCTGCTCATGCAGTGTCCATGCTCTCTCTCACCCCAGTCTCCCTACCATCACTATTTGGGTACGTGTTGCACCAGTGCCAAAATGCACAAGGATGGTGCCCCTGAGTACAGACAGCAGCGCCTCATCCCTCCACAGAAATATTCCACCGGCCTCAAAAAAAGGGTTTTTTTTTTTGCACGACTCAAGGCTGCTGGTCAAGCCTCTAAACGCTAATACTCATCAACTGGCACAGGCATAAGCAGCCCATTGAATCGCATGCTATGACCTGTGTGAGTAAGGACTGCCCAAATTAACCCTGAGATAATATTTTCCCATGCAACTGTTTTATACACCACCAAAAAAACAGAAAACGGAGCAGTTAACAGTGGAAACTCAGCACAGATGACAGAAAGCTGATGTTCGTTCAAAGCCTGCTGGAAGTTTAGATCAAACCTTTAAGCTTCTTTTTTACGAGATGTTTCAAAAATCTCATTTTCAATGGCACTGTTTCCATTCCGTCAGGGGAGGGGGGGGGGAATTAAAACAAAAAGAAGTAAAAACTTTCAGTGAAATCTTTTTCAAATTAAGGAGTTGGAAGTGTTCGCGGATGGGCTGCAAACACAAACGCCATCAGCAAATTAGGAGACCATGAGAACCAGGAAGCAAATCTGATTGCGATAAAACAAAGTGAAACGCACAAATAAAAGCCTGGTTTTGTCCATCTAAAGGAGGGCAGTGCAATCAGCACCCTCAGACACACTCAGCTCCCTCCTTCACATTCAACATAGCTTTCCACCCCTCTGTTAAAAACAGTAAATTGCCCATTTTTGTCCATTCTTTTCTTTGCTTTCGTTTCATTTTTCTTCAGGACTCTGCTTGTGACAGAGTTGCACTCCTGTCTCTTGTAGGCAGCCAGAAGACAGAGAAATCTACATTAAAAAAAAAAAAAAAAAAAAAAAAAAAAAAAAAAAGCTTTTCCAATTTCAAATCACAGCATTCAAGGATGCAAGAAAAAAAATATCAAACAGCAGGCAATGCTTAACCAAACAATCACACACCAACCGGCCTGAGAGCAAAATGACAAAGCAGGCAGGCTCTAGGATGCCCGCCGCACTGCTGGTGTGCACAAAGATCAGTCTTGCAAGAAGCAGCAAGCTGCTCTGTTTCTTTCAGGCAAACAGCCCAAAGGAGTGCTTCAAAACGAGCACCCATCCCCAGTTTTTGCATGAGTGGATGGGAGGGGAGGGCTGGGTTTGGGATACTCATCCCTGGTGGCACCGTGGATGGATGCTCAGCGCTGCTGCGTGCTTCAGGCTTCACTTCGTTCATTTGCAAGGTGAGCTCCTGCCTCCAGCCCGTTCTTTGCCTATCTCAGTATGAGCAGCTTCTGGGAATGAGGGCTGCATTTCACAAAAGAAACAGCCCTTTAGAGCTTCAAGAGAAAGCAAGTTTGTAAAAAACCCCACAGCCCTGCTGCTTTCTCCCCATATACCGCGGCAGCGCCCGAACCGCTCTTCCCATTACAAAGCAATGGCAGAGCTCTTCTTCTCCTTACAATATTCCCAATGGTTTTGGGTTTTTTTTCTGTTTGTTTGTTTTTTTGTTTTACACAGGGTGGGGAGGCACCACAACACCAGATCAGCAAGAAAAGGAGAAACAATTCAACATACATACAAATCATTTTCTCTTCCTGCAGCACCTGCACCTGCTTTAATTAAAAAGGGGTGATTAACTGCACAAACAGCCCGCAGCCGGCAATGAGACACAGAGGCAGAGGGCAGGAGCCCAGTTGGCGATGGAATCATTCCTGCCCTGGTTCATCCCTGCATCCCCATACCCAGCGAGCTGCCTAAGCACAACCCATCCCCAGCAGCCCGACGTGGGCTGGAAGAGAAGCACAGCCCCAGGCTGCCACCCCATTGTATCCAAGAAAAATTAAGGGACGGTAATAACCCCAACATGCAGAAGCTGAGCATGTCCTGGATCAAAGTGGGGTTTATTCATTCCTCACGAGAGAACTGAGAGCACAACCAATTTTTCTTCTGCTGCTCGCTCTCCACACTGTTTTACTAGCCGTCAACAGTCACACTCAAACAAACAAACCAAAAAAAAAAAAAAAAAAAGCAGATGGCAAACATGCCATCTCCAAAACAAACTGTTAGCTCCGCAGCCCCATGCTTGGAGGACTCATCCTGCTCAGGACCACGAGCTCTGGGAACCCACCATCGGGCTCCTGCCACCACCAAAGGGCACTGCATCCCTTAGCTGGGAAGCCCTGAGAGCCCTCCCTGCTGAACTGAGACGGTGTTTTCATCCCAGCTTCAGTTGGTCTCAATGCAAATCTTGCTAGCAAACACAGTGCAGCCGTATCTTTCGGGTGGTTTTACAGTGAAGAGGAACTCAACTCCCAGCTGCAGGGCAGTGGCACGGATGCTCACCATCCAGCTTTTCAGGTTTGCGGAGCTGCAATTTGAACTCGACGCAGCGATGGTTTTGCAGCACCACTGATGAAATCCTGTTACACATTGACAGCTCACCCCACACGTATTACGATCTGAGCTATTCCCAGAGATGCCGTTTTCCCTTCTTTTCCAATAGGAAAAATGTTTTCCCCTCAACCCCTTCACAATGAATTAATGGTAATGTAGTTCCCCCAGCCCCACAAGTCTGGATAAAACTTTGTTATCTCTGTGTCACCCAGCACTTTGGTTCGCTGCTACAGGTCGGGGCAAAACACAACAGCAGGCCAGCTGACTTTCCTCCAGATTAGAAGAACATTTTCAGTACGCCGTAGACATCCCACAATATCTCCAAGCAGCTTTTCCCTTCTCGTCCTCAGTAACACAGAACAACAGAGCTTGGCGTTGGCTGTTCTGCTGAACCAGCTCTCATTCTGCACTGTGCTCTCACACAGCCCTTTCCACACACACAGCAGAACACTCTGCAGGTGGGGAAACTGAGGCACGGATCACACTGGGGCTACTAAACACATCAATGAAACAGCCACGCAGCCCAGATGACAGCTCTGCCCAAGGAGACAGAGAGGATTTATCCACGCTATTCTTTTCGGCTTGCTTTAGAATACTTCTAAAACTTCCTAATTCGCTGCAACGGCATCCAAGCTTTTACCGCGTTTGGAGAATCCCCGATTGACTTCGAGGGGCAGTTTGCCCCCTTCTTGGCATTGCTGGATGGGCAGCATATCCCTGGACTGGGATATGGAGTGTTCAACGTTCTGAGAGCAACGTGGGCAACAGGGGAATGCAGCCTCTCTGCTCCGGGCTGAGCTCAGCAGCGGGAAGCACCACGAGCAACCCGGGGCCCAGTTAAATACCATCAACGAAACTGGGGGCAAAAACAAGGAGGGAAAAAAGAGCTGTTGGCAGAACTCGTTGCTTATGTCGGGGGCCGCCCGGCCGCAGCCTGGCAGGACAGGAGTCGAACCACAGGACAACGGCGATCGCTGCCGCCCTGACCCACTGAACGCACACTTTTAGGGCCAGAAAATGCGTTTTGCCGGCTCTCAGGAAGGGACGTTTTTAAAGCGGTTTTCCAGCGGCGCTCGATTCGCTCCTGTCCCCGCCGCAAAGGAAAAGCCGCCCCGGGACGCTGCCTCTCCGCCAGACAGAAGCGGTCACCGCAGTGAAGCCCGGAGGGGAGGGGGGGGCGTCTCACGTTGGGGAAACGCCGTTTTTTGGGTGCGTTACCCCTTCGTCAGCCCCGCCCGGGGAAGCCGAGAGAAGCCGTGTAGGGGCGGCGGGGGGGGGGCTGCGGGCCGGCTCCGAGCACCCAGCGGAAAGTCAGCGATGGGCCGGGGGGACACAAGGGGAGGGTTCCCTACAGCCGGGGATGGGTGGCGGTGCCGCTGGCCCGGTCCGTGTTAGCACCGTGACGGTGCCGCTCGTTTATATACGGCGGCTGCCAGTGAGAGGCAAAAAAACAAAACAAAGAAAAAAAACAAAAAAAAAAAAAAACAAAAAAACAAAAACAAAAAACCAACAAACAAACCGAAAACCAAAAAGTAACGAAAACCCTGATTTTCGTTTTCCCTTTCTCGTTCTTTTCGCCTCTCGCTGGCGGCCCGGCCGATCTCGCTGGCAGAGGGGGGAGTTCTCACCGGGAGCCCTCGGAAGGGATCCCGTGTCCTTGGCTGCGCTCCGCTCCCCGCAGCGGCTGCCGCCTGACCCGACCCACAACGAAAGCCGCGTCCAGGGCGCATTTCTAACCGAAACGAGGAGGGGAAAGGCAGAGGGACTTGCACACCTACCTCACCCCAGTCCTCCGCGGCTCTCCCGTAGCACAGCGTTGCGCTTGGAAAATACCGCGCAAGCCTGTGCACATTCCCCGCTGCCCTACTGCGGCCCTTTAGGACGGGCTGCCCTGCCTCATCCCCTGCCCCGCGCCTGGGGGCTGCAGGGGCCCGCAGCAGGCGGCTCGGCGAGAAGCAGGGCTCGACGAGAAACGAGGCTCGGCAAGGAGGCTGCTCCGTTTTCCGACCACGCACGGAACCACGGCGCTGCGCGCAGAGCTCCAAGCTGCGGCCGGCTCCGACGGGACGGGCGATGAATGGACAGATAGACGGGTGAAGGATGGATGGACGGAAGCACGGATGGAGAGATGGATGGACGGAGGGAGAGAGGAAGGGATGATGGATGCTCGGCCCCAACCCCGTCCCACTCAGCCCCGCGCTCAGCCCCGACCCTGCCGCGCCGCTCCCCTGTTCTGCTCGGTTCCCCAAGCGGCGGCGGGCTGTTCCCGCACTTACTGTCCTGCTGCGGAGTGTCGCTACCGCTCGTCAGCCCGGGGGACTCCAACAAGCTCCTGCCGGGCTCGCCGCCGCCCTCGTCCCCCTGCGCGGCCACCATGTCGCCCGCCTCCTCCAGGTCCAGCAGGTGACTCACGGAAAAGTTCTTCTTGGCTTGTAAATTGTCCAGGCCGGCAGGGCCGTCGAGGCGGGCTGGCAGCAGGGCCTGCCTCTCCATGGCGTGGGCATAGCTGGACGCCATGGTGCCGAGCGGGGGCTTTTCTGCCCTCGCCCCCCCGGCGCCCACCGCCCCCGCTCCCCCCCCAGCCGCCGGCCCTTCGAGGGGGGAAGCGCACGGCCCGAGGGCAGGGGGAACGGGGACCCGACGGCGGTGGGGCGGCTGGAAGGAAAGCCCAAAGGAGAGCGGCTAGGGCCGGCCTTAAAACATGCCGGAGGGAAGAGAGAGGCCGGCTCGGGGCGCCGGGAGCTGCCGCCGGCCGGGAGGAGAACGATGGCTGTGGGGCGGCTGGGGCGGGTGCGCCCCGTCCCTCCGCCTCCCCGCCCGGCCGCTCCGCTCCCCTCCCCTCCCTCCTTCTCCTCCCTCCGCCCCTCCGGGCCGCACTTCAAACGGCGGGGGCGGCCCGCCGGGTACCCGTGGAGGGCGGCCCTGCCGGGACGTGGCACCGGAGCGGGGCCCCCCACCCCCGGCCGGGATGAGTGGCGGCTGCGGGGGGCACCGGGCAGAAGAAGACGGGGGAGAAGCGGCTCTCAGTCCTCTTTAGAGGGATGCGAGGGTGGGGGGTATGGTCAGCGGGAAAAGGGTGGGTACGGCCCTTGGGGGAGCAGAAAGAAAGGGTGAAAATGAGAAATACAGTTGAAAGAGTAATAGGAATGGGAGAGAGAGGGGAAAAAAAAGTAGAGGGGAAGAAAAAGTGCAACAAAACTAAGGAACAAGGCAGGCGAGAAGTAGCAAAAGAAGAAAAAAAGCAAAATAGAAGCAGAAAAAAAAAAAAAAAAAAAAAAAAAAAAAAAAGAAAAAAAGCCAACAACAGTCAGACCAAAAAGCAAAAGAGCAAAGGAGACTGAAAGATAGGAGGACCCTCAGAGCTCTACAGCCAGTGAGCCAAGGTCCCAGCAGGTCCTGGTGACGCAGACAAGCAGAAGGACAGGCAGTGCTCAGCCTTTACAGCAGGGCCCGAGGGCAGCCTGGTGGGTGCAGAGAGGGGTGCTGGCACACTTCACTGGGCCCCCAAGACCCCACATCCCAATAGCTGCAGCATGGGATCGGCGCTGCCACAGCCAGCCCAGAATTTCCATCCCCCCTGATCTGGGGAAAGAACATTTGATGCCATCAAAGGGCTCCAGATTGAAAACAGATGTGCTTCCCCGAGCCTCTCCATGCATTTAATTAAGGCTCAGGCATGGAGGAGACAGTTTCATCATTAGTTTGCTTTCAGGCCCCCACTCCAGTCCCAGTTTACCCTTTGCTGTCTCAAAGACCCAAATGAGTGTGGCAGGGCTCTGTTGTGCTCAGCTTGGGGCAGAGCAAGGCTGCCCAGAGCAGACAGTGGGGCAAAGCTGTGCACATATGTGTGGGTATACTCACACCTAAAATACTGCATGTGCATCTTTGTGCCAACAGCAGTGCCTCACTGCATACTAGTGTGTCCCTTTTTGGGATGGGTATTAATATAATGGACCACTTCTCAGGCAGCTTTACCCTCTTTCTTTCTAATCAGTTTTGCAGCTGACCTGACAGCTATGCTGGGGAACCTGAACCACATCCATCCCCTTTGCACTGGTGTAATGCTGCAATGGGATGATATTAGCACAGCGGCAAAGTCTTTGACTACAGCAAATGAGAATGAGCACAAATGCAGCAGCCGCAGTTACAGCAATGAAAGAAAAGAGCTGCTTACTTTTGGAAGGCCTCAGGTATGCAGGGATCTCCAGCAAGAGATGCCCACACCTCCACTGCCAGTCCTTCAGTAAGGTCTCAGAAGGGATGGATCCTGACTCCATACCTTCTGGTCACTCAGGTTCATTGCACACACCTGAGCTCCCCTGGGTTGGCCCTGCCTTTCCACCAGGTGCTCAATCACTGCTTCAGGCTGTGACTTAGCATTTCTGCTACAACTGGGGAGAGACTGCTCTGACCCCCCAGGCAGCCCCAGCGGAAACCACAGAACGTGGAAGAGCAACTCTCTGTGCTTCCTTCACTGATATTCTCACAGATATCCAAGGAAAGAAGCATCTTCATTTATTTTTCACATGTTCCCCTGCTCAAGGGCATCCCTCAAACAAACGTTTCTTGGCTTCAGGATTTGGGAACCCAACCAAGTACCAGCAGGTGCCCTGGAGTGACGATAAGTGAAAGCATGTTGGTACTCCATGAGTGCTCCCCATAAACACATCCTCCACAGAAGAGCGAAATAGACATAGCAGCAGCTCAGAACCAGGATTAGTGCATTCTGCTCCAGAAGCTTTCATCTATGGGAAGAAATCCCACTAGGAGATGGAAGGGTGCTCTGTGTATACTCAGTGTAGCAGGGTATCCTATTATACTGGCCATCAAGCAAAGCTTGAGGGAATGGGTAGGATAGGAGAAGGCACCTTCTGATGTGCAGGAAATAGGTTGCACTCAGCCCCAGTTGTAGTTTAGCTTCTTAGCTCCACTTCTATGTTTGGGGATGCCAAGCAGCTGGAGGGCTTGAGGCACATCTTTTTGTGGCCTATGAGACCAGGCTTTCAAAGAGCCCACCTGAGGCTACTTTGGCCAGCTGTATTATCTCTGTGTTCAGAGTCTGGCACGGATCATAACCCGGATAAGATCAGACAGGCAGGAAGCATTTCCCTACCAGACTCATCTTGTGATAGACCAAAGCAGCCCCAGAAAACCACAAGCAAAAGAGAAACAATCAGAGAGATGAGGATGGGGAGTGGATGAAGGACGTGTTCTGAGCTCCTGGGTGAGCTATTGCAAATCTCACACTGCTATTACAATAGGAGTAGGATCACCTCCACAGGACGAGCATAAAGGCATGCCCTCATCAGCCATTTCATTTAACTTGATTCAAAGTTTAAGATTGTCACCTTATGTGAGTGCTCAAGAAAATCACCTCTGTGTCCCTCTCCAGGAGAAGAAGATAAGGTATTTGCTACCAACTCAGACGCTTCAGTTTCATCCTTTCTGAGTGTCCAACGGCCAGGTGTCATGCACTTTTTCTGGATAAATAGGCACTGCTGTCTGCTGAGAACTCAGCACATCTGATCTTATTGTCAGATGGGGAAACTGGTGCACAGGCAGTTTGTCCTTGGCAGCAGACCCAAAGAGAGGTGATAGGATACCACAGTTCTCATAACCCCAACTGGGTTCTCATAGCCCCAGTTGGGTCCCATGCTCACCACCCAGAGCCCTGCCTAAAAACCTGTCTTCCTACCTTGTAGCCACCTCAAAGGACGTAAGGCAGAACCAAATGCTATGATTTTCTTCCCTCTCTTCCCAGTTGCATATCAAGAAAGAGAGTCTCTAACTCAAGCATCCATCCTAATTCCTGCAGTTTCCCATGAAACCCAGCACCTGGAAGTTCCTGTGGCTCTCAGCTCCAATAATATGGGCTATCCAAGTGTGGTATAAACCTTTAGAAATGTTTCCTTCACTTTTGCACGTGTCCAAGCAGGGATTTCCCAGCACCTACAGCCATAACCTTGGTTAAAGTTCTCAAGCAGACAAGCAGCTGGAACATACCAGGACCAAAATATACAATGCCATTTATTACTGCTCCGCAGTCCTTAGCCTTGACTGTACAAGGTGCTCAGCTCCTGTGGAGCATGCAGGTGCTCTCAGTGCTGCTCTCCTGTTGTTGAGACGGGTGACTGAGCAGGCAGGAGGCTGCAACAATGTTTTTCCTCTTCTACTGACAGCCACTCTGCAGAGAGGTTTCCCTGAGATAGACCTTCCCCCCAGAAAATTCAGCTCCCTACAGGCAAGCCAATGAGAGACATCACATCAGGGCAGCTCTCTGCCCCTGAGCCTTTTTGGGCTGCAGCCACATGGTTCCATCCCATTCCATTGCATCCCATTGCATCCCATTGCATCCCATTGCATCCCGTTGCATCCCATCCTATCCCATGCCATGCCATGCCATGCCATGCCATGCCATGCCATGCCATGCCATGCCATGCCATGCCATGCCATGCCAT